CTGAAAAAATGGAGTTTACTTTTGGGACAACCTAATATTTGGAACTGATTTTTCTGTTGTGAAATTTCAAGCCCATTTATTGCAGATTTGATATTTTAAAATTCATGTATCTTTCCTGTATCATACCATTTGCAGATGCAAGAGACGCATCTGGCGATAATTTGACATTGACATCGGCAATAGAATTAAAAAACGATGAGCAATGGAGATTCTTCTCTTTCCTTACCTGGCATGGTGATGGATTGGTGGCGATTGCACATGCTGAGAACGATGCCATTATCAAAATTGATACTCAAAGTGGAGAAATCAAGATGTGAGTAATTTTATCTTATTTTCTTCACCTGTACACATGAAGTGGGCTTTACAACCTATATTTTTGAGAACCTAGTGGCATGTTTTCTGCATATGCTCAAAAATTTGCCTATTATAGAAAGGCAACGACGCGGGTTGCATTGCTAACTGCCGCGTCAGTGCCGTTCCAGTGCCGTGCCACCCTGCCGGGACTTACGAGAGAGCGCGCACTACGGCTCGATCGATGTTGTCAGAACGGTGCTGGAATTGCGCTGGCACGGGTAGCTCTAGAAGCGCTAGAAAGAGCCATACAAAATTTTGGATATGAAAGTCCTCCTTAATGATGTTATTCCGTTCAGCTTCCACCAATGTGCTAGAAAAGCTGTATGGCTGGGTTTGGATCCTACCTCCAAACTGGTAATGGCTAATGAGGATGGAAAATTCGAGCAAATAGGAGAAGATGGCCAGCTTCATTTCCTGTACACTATCTCTGCGGCTGACAGTTATGATGTCAAATTCGCTCAGGTATGAAGCGAAGCATAAAATGTTATGAATTGCTTGCGATTGCCTGATTTAGGAGCATATGCTGGTACGAACACCTAATTTTGAGCTGTATATCGACGGGAAGGCGATTCCGGACTCAGTGTCGTCTTACTTGATTTCTGGCGAGATATGTCTATATATCACCCTTCATCACAAATTGCATATGATTTCATTGACAGATAAGCAACAAGTGACGAAAGGTTATCTATTTGGCTGGTCTCCACTGGTATTTCTGAAAAGGAGATTTTTTCAGAACGAGCTGTCGAACTTGGAAGCAGTCTCATTGCTTGTTCAACATCTGGCACCAGCCTAACAATGCAGATGCCGCGCGGGAATCTCGAAACAATACATCCGAGACCGTAAGTCAACTGCGAATAATATTATATATACGATAGGATAACTAATGAGAGGTACCAAGGAGCCGTACAAATTTACGGTGGTAACCAGGTATTGGGTGATCAAAATTTGGTTGAAAAAGCAACGAAGGCTGTATCTCATTAATGATTGAAAATAGATCTAATAATTTCTTGTCGATAGTGGATTGTCGTTGAAACAATTTGTTTCATGATAGCTGCATGTTGGTTATTTTTAAGAACATCAATTTTAGCTTCTCGCTCAGTAGAATTTTTTGCACATTTTCAAAGTCGTAAAAGAGTAAAAAGAACGCAACTTACCTGCTGGTGCCAATTGTAAAGCAGTACTCTCGACTAGTGTGAAATAGAATAAGCAGATATCCGTTATACTTTTATTCAGTTTATGGTTTGAAACAGCTATGACTCTGTAGAAAAGATCATCATCATGCCGGAAATGTATACTTGTCTTTGAATGTCATTTCACCTGTTATAATTGGCCATAGTTCAATTTTCATGTGCATATCTGCAAATTCAAATTCTGCAGAATGCTTTTCTGGAGAGTAAAATTACAAGAATTTTAGCCGCTGTAGTGAATGAAGGTTGGTCTAAACAAATGTAACGTAAATATGTGTTGAATGCAGGCATTCAAAATATGTTATTGAGTACCTTCATCACGAAGCACATCAGTAATAAGTAATAAGTAATTGTAAAATCATATTGTCATTATTGCTCAATATTTGCTTATTCACTTGTTGTTTCTGCACTTCCTCAGAAATTCTTCCCACTGCGTGAAGGATAATATCCATAAGTAGAAGATGTGAAGCATTATACTTGTCTGCAGTGATGGCAGCCCAAAATTGTACATCAGAATTCAGCAGTTATCATACAATTACATAATTGTCTGTATTCAGCTTCGTCGTACGGGAGATCAAGAAGTTGATTGATGATCTCAAATATGTGGCAGCTTTGAGAGAAATGAAGAAGCATCGTATCGATATGAATCTTCTTGTTGACTACAAGCCTCAAGTAAGTTTCTCAAATCTTTGGCCATTACTTGTTTAGCATCATCCCATAAATATCACAATCACGTTGGCACTCACTTTTAAACGTATTTATCTTGATTATAATTTTTCTAGATTTTCTTGAGCCATGTTAGCGACCTCATTCAAGCATCCAAAGATCCAGATCTCATCAACCTTTTGATCGCTGCTTTGAATAACAGCTGCAGCGAATGGTGCAATGGTAATGGTACACTCAGTGACAAGGTACTGTTTGATTTTATGGCCATCTCGAAATTATCATGATTTATAGGTCAACCGCATCACAGATCTCCTAGCCAAGGAAGTGCTTTCATTACCTTCTGAGCGGCGGATACATATGCTCGTTGTAGCATTGACAGCAATGCTGAAATCAGTCCCACAGCGAGTTCAGGAAGCTCTCCGTCTTATCAAGCAGGAGACGAGCGAACGTAGGTGGTAAAATGTTTTGTTTCTCTTGAACGGCCATATCTGAAGACGAAATTGCGAGTTTTCTCGGCTTCAAGCTTGTTGAGCTACCAAGGTTCTAGGAAATTACTGTTGCAATTTTCCAAGTGTTTTCTTTTTTTCACATATGATCCATTATAGTTCCGCCAGAAAAGAGGGACATCTTCACACGGAAATGGCTACACCACGTCGGATTCTTTGTAAAAGAAGCTGAACTTTTCGATGCAGCATTGTCTACCTATGATCTTCACCTC